AACAGCTCATCCCCATTGGTTCAGGAGCGCCCCCCATGTCACAATAGGCCTATTCCTTAAAAATCCCATTTCTGTCAATGTTGGTACATCAGATCCTATTTTCTCACTGATTTCCCTGATAATTTCGGTAACTGAACGCTTTAACTGGAATGCATTTCATTGTTAATTGAAATTTATTATACATTTAAATTAGCAATGAAACTGAACTGCTTAGTTCCAATTTTCTTGCTGCCTATGTTCTTCTTAAAAGCAATTTTGGATCCCATTGATAAACATTTGGTTGACTTAATCTTTATGTGCTATCTCAATAAAATGTGATTATTGAGCCCCTTTAGAACCTTTCAAATTTTAGCAAGAATCAAAATCACCCATAGCAGGGGGCGGGGGATGCTTGTTAAAATGCAGATTTGTGGCTCCATCCCTGGAGAGAAGGTTCTGTGTTGGGCCCAAATGTTAACAGTGATGAAGGTAGGGTTAATCCCCTGGCCAGGTTTGAAGATGCTCAGCTTTCCAGCTTTGATCTAAATCCTCTCTGCAAAACCGACAGCCGTTTATATATATAGTATGTCTGGATTTTGAATTTGTAAGAGCTTAAATAAGTGTTCAACAGAAATAAAAGAATCTTAGAACTATTTTCAGAGGATGAAGATTCCAGTCCTGTCACTATTTACATGGGGAAACTGAGGCTCAGAGAGATAACACTTGTCCAAAGCCACAGCTTGCTAATGAGAGAGCCAAGATTCGAACCAAGCTGGGACTCTCATTCCGAAGCCCCTCTTGTGTTCTAGACTCTTCCAAGAAGTTACAATCTATGAAGGAGCCGTCCCATCTTACTGACCCTGGTGCACATATGCACAAGTAACAGGTGGATGTCGCTGAGACTTGTGGGTGGCGGGGTGGGACCCAACAGCTGGGATATGTGCTCTAGGATGTCGAACTCAAGGCTTACTGGATTTTAGGCTATTAGGGAGATTAACAATTCAGGAGCATATGAGCACCCACCTCTACCTTCCAGAGGGATGGAACCTTCCAGAGCTGCTGCATGTAGTGAAGGAGGCAAATGGCTATTTTTAAAAGCTGGTGTTGAGTCCATGAGGAGTTCATTTTATTATGTATTATTCCTCATTATACTTACTCTTGCGAAATTATTTTATCATACATGTCATATTTAAAATAATATATTTCCTAATGAAAAATGTAAAAAGGAAACAAGATGTGAGAGGGAAGACAAAGAACTCCAAGTGTGGCAAAGTAGACACTTGAGGGACAGAAGTGGAGATGAGCAGACGTGGTCGGCATGGTCTGTCTGATCTTGTGCTGTTCTGTGGTGGCCATTCTCAGGATGGGGTTCTCGTTGTCATATGAGGAGTTGGAGTCCTATGTCACACTCTACACCCAGAAAAATTCTAAATAGTAGAAATGCAACCAAAATAGAAAGAAACAGGAGAAAACTATTTTGTAGCCTCAGAGTGAAGAGGGTTTTTGAATTTCGACCTGAAATCTAGAGGCCATAAAAAAGGACTGGGAAATGTGACCACAAAATATAATAGTCTGCTCAGAAAAAATATACCATCCGCAAGCTCAAAAGACAGACAAAACAACTGGGGAAAAACATTTGTAATCATACCACAGATTTCTACTACAGAAATTACTAGTAAGGGGGAGAAAAACAACAAACCAATAGAAAAAAATAATGTTCATGAAAAGACCACAGTGGAAACAAATAAAAACCATTCCCATGGCTAAGAAGGAAAGGGATATAAAATGTGTCTTTTTGATATCTACTAAAATTGAACATACATTTTATAGCTTAGCAATTCCGGTCTCAGGTATATACCAAGATAAATGCACTCACTTGTGCAACAAAAGACATGCGAGAATGCCTTTCGAAACATCACTCTTAATAGCCTCATATGGGACACTACGCAAATGTTCATCTAGATTTAAAGAAATAGATGAATTTGTAGTGTATCCCCACAATGAAATTCTATACAGCAATGAGAATGAGAGAACTGGAGTGATATGCAACCATCTCATAAACAGAATGTTGAGCTAAAAGAAGACAAACAAATAAAAAAAAACATATGGTATGCTTTTATTTATATGTTAGAATCACAGGGAAAAAGAATCTACTTTAGAAGAGACGATGGTCCATGGAAAATAGTGACTGGAAAAGGCTGTGGTTGGCTGGGTGGGGTGTGGGAGAGTTCTGGGGTTTGATGATGTCTTGTTAATTGACCTTGATGGTCAGTTTGTACAAAGCCATCAAACATATTTCCTACATTTTTTGGTTAATCCTCACCCATGGATATTTTTTCCATTGATTTTTTTTAGAGAGAGTGGAAAGGAGAGGGAGAGACACAGAGAGAGAAACATTGATGTCAGAGACACATATTGAATGGCTGACTCCCAGACGCACTCCAACGGGGGCTGGGGATGGAGCCTGCAGCTGAGGTCCATGCCCTTAACTGGAATCAAACCCGAGACCCTTCAGTCTGAGGGCCAACGCTCTAACCACTGAGCAACCGGCTAAGGCTATTTTCTGCCTTTTTTTTAGCTCTATAAAACATTTTTAAAATCCCCTGCAAGCCAGAATGAGCAGTATGTCCATGAGTTTTGGGTAAGGAATGGACTCGAAATCCAAACACATGCTGTCCTAGCCCCTGTCAGGATACCAAAGAGATTCTGAGACTGGAAGGACAAACTGCTATCAGCCCAAGGTCCTGGGGAATTACGCAGAGACCTGGGCTTGGTGGTTCAGAGGAGGCCCCTCTGCCCCATCAGACACAGGGAGCATCGAGGCCTTTGCAGAGGGCCTGCGAGCAGCCTGAGCAGGAGCTGTGGACTCAGGAGAATGCACTGTAGTCACATTTCACTCGCCAGGAATCCCTGTGACTGGGACACTCCATGCAATTTAATTTTCTGGAGAGGCAAAACTTTCCTCATTAAACAGCTCCTTCATTTAAAACAGAATCATTTTTAGTGACACCCTTTCAAAAATGTATTCTGCATGTCCCTGATATTTTGGTAAGTCCACAGAATAGAACTGAACCTTTACACCAAGCTACAACACTAACAATCAGGTCAACTTTTTGTGCCAGGCGATTTCTGAAACGCTTGCCGGCACATTTGCTCACCAAACCCCTATCAATGAGTTCCTAGTAGTATTCCCATTTTATATATGAGGCTGAGAGCCATTGAAACACTGTCCAAGTTCACACAACAAGTAACAGCGGGGGAGGAGAAGTGTGCTCTAGCTCCACAGCCTAAACTCCTAACCACTGTGCTGTCTTTTCTTATAGCCTCAGGAATTTTGCATCTGCTACACTCCACATGCCACAGGTACACAAGAATATTAGGTTGAGCTCTCATTGCTTTTCTCTCCATATTACCTTTCTCCTTCATCAATGTTATACTGTTAGTTTTCACATAAAGCTACATCAAAAGCTTCTACCTAAAATCAGATAAAAATCTATAGCTCTATGTTTTCAAATAAACTCTCAATCTCCTTAGATCTTTCTGTGAAAGAAAGGAAGAAAGAAAGAAAGAAAGAAAGAAAGAAAGAAAGAAAGGAAGGAAGGAAGGAAGGAAGGAAGGAAGGAAGGAAGGAAGGAAGGAAGGAAGGAAGGAAGGAAGGAAGAAAGAAAGAAAGAAAGAAAGAAAGAAAGAAAGAAAGAAAGAAAGAAAGAAAGAAACGAAGGAAGGAAGAAAGAAAGGAGGGAGGGAGGGAGGGAGGGAGGGAGGGAGGGAGGAAGGAAGGAAGGAAGGAAGGAAGGAAGGAAGGAAGGAAGGAAGGAAGGAAGGAAGGAAGGAACCAAAATGGAGTCACTTATGCTAAGTCCCACATCAGCAAACCAAGACTTAATTGTGGTTTCAGCTTCTCCTAAGAATGTGACCTTTAACCAGTTGATCTGGAATTACCTGGTCCACACTAGTGAGGTAATCTGCCTGACTACCTGCCCTTCCCCAAAGGAAAGTGACCTTGCAGGAAATTATCCACTTTTTGCTAGAAACTTCTTTTCCTGCCCCCTTCTGCCAATTAAAGCCTTCCATTTTGCACAGCTCCTCGGAACTCCTTTCTAGTTGTTAGATGGGACGCTGCCCAATGTATGAATCACTGAATAAAGCCAATTAGATCTTTAACTAAACAGTGGGGTTCAAAACGAATCACCCCAAGATGTGCCACTCTGGCGTGCAGATTATTTTAAACTGAATACAATGGAGGCCCAGGAGGCTCCGAAGGAAACCTTGTCCTCGCCCTTTACTGCCTAAAAGAACCTGCTCTGGGGAAGGGGGTGTCAGCATAGGTAACTATAGTTAAGGTGACCAGGTGCACTAGACAGGGAGGAACCTACCAAAGCCCATTTGATCAAAGTCCTCCATGTCCCACTGTTTCAAGGTGGCCCAGCAAACCTTTGTTTACTAAACATTAACTTTTTTCATCCCCTTGTAAATTGCCTTAACTTCCTTTTGAAGTCCTGGCCCCTTCTCCCTTCCACCCCCCTTAGTCCAGAATGACACATATACCTCATTTTACCTCACTGCCCTTGGAATTTGCATGCTTATGTGAATTTCCCGTGTGCATGTATTAAACTTGATTTTCTCCTCTTAATCTGCCCATGTCCTTTTAATTATTCTACCAGTCAGAAGAACTAAAAGGAGCAGGAGAAGGTATTCAGTTGAATTCTGTTTTTTCACATTTCTATTTGGGTAAAATAGCCCATAGAGTTGGGCCAACTTCTTTATCAGTTTAAGAAACCCCACTGGCTCTCTGCATTTCAAAGTGTCCTGGATTTGCTTTTCCTTAACACAACTCAGAAGGAAACCTGTGGTGCTCATCAGATTAACAAAAGCGGCCCTTAACTGGGGTGCATCTGGCTGCCCAGCTCTCCAGAAAATATGCAGTGGGGGCAGATAAGGAGCAAGGCGTGCAGAGAGTCATTTTCTGTGAGGCTTATCAGCTAGCAGGCCTGCGGAGAAAAAGAAGCCACCATCCTTACCCTGTTTTCAAGCTGACCAAGGCGTCCTCTACTCCCTTCTGATTAAATTTGGTCATGTACTGATGCATGTAGGGGTAGTTATTCCGAATGTTTCTTTCCGTACTGCCATTGGGCACCGTGCCAAATCGAAAAGGTGGGGAATAGTCGTGAGGTCTCTGAAACTGGAGAGAGAGAGAAAGGAGAAGGAAGAGGAGAAGGAAAAGAAGTCAGCCATCACTTTGCCTTGTGTCAGGAGTTAAACATATGCATGCTTTAGCACAGCAAAAACACATTCAGTTTTGTGCTTTTTAATCACATCTCCCACTGGTCTGTGAGCTCCAGTGTCTGTCTTGTTCCATGCTCTTCCCCAGTACATACTGTCTGGGTACACAATAGATAACTTGCTGGACTGAACTTTTTGGTGCCATTGTATACAGTAGCCTAGTGGTGAGCACTGGGGACCTGGCAGAGCTCAGAAAATGTTGGTTGAGCAGGAATGAAGGTATTATTTTCATTCGGTTAATTTATCCATCTTATGATAAAACTAGAGGCCTGGTGCACAAAATTCGTGCACAGGTAGGGTCCCTAGGCATGGCCAGCGATCAGGGCCAATCAGGGCCTTCCGGCTGCTGGCTGGGGCCTTCCTTCCCCCGGCTGCCGCCCCCTGGTGGTCAGGACACATCATAGTGAGCAGTCAAACCCCGGGTCAGTCAAACTCCCGAGGGGATAATTTGCATATTAGACTTTTATTATATAGGATTTTCTGTGATCCCCACCAATCACTCTGAACTTCATTTACAATGACCTTCACCTCACCCAGAAATGATAAAGGGGAGCAGATTTTGCCACCCCAAAATATGTTTCTTTGCCATAAGGATCACTTGGGGTTGATTATTTTTTTAAAAAATCAGCAGACACAGGAGAAGCTCTGAAAACCAAGTAGAAGTTACCCTCCTGAGAGAGACATTTACATTTATGAGGAAAATCTCCGTTTGTAAGGGTGTCTTTCTTGCTGTACCTGGAAGAGGAAGATGACTAAGTCTCTAGGAACTCTTACCAATGGAAAAGGCAACTGACTTAAGTCTACATAACAAACATATCTTTGTTAACTGTGCTTTTCCTGGTAACCGCAGGTAATTGGTCTCTCCCTGAACATCTTTTGTCTTTATTTAGCTGGAAATGGTATTTAAGGTGGTAGCTTGGGCTATTTAAGGGAGTTACTCCATTTTCTTGGGTATCTTCTATGCATACAGGAGTTACACTTGTTATTAAATTTTTTTTGTTTTTTTCTCCTGTTAACCTGTCTCTTATAATTGGGGGGAGAGGGGCATTCTCAACCAGGAACCTAGGAGAATAGAGGAAAAATTATTTTTCTTTCCCTACAATAACTATATGTCATCACTGACTCATTCTCTACTCACTCATTCATCCATACATGCAATACTTATTGGAGGCCTAACATACTCTAGGCTTAATGATGACAGGCTCATGAACATATGTTAAGCTGATGTCCCTACTAAGCATTAGTTTCTTAGGGGTTCCCATGTTGTAAATGGAACCTCCAGCCTCCATGAAAGCTCACTGTCCATGCCCCACTAGTCTTCCATGATTGGCTGATACTGTCCATTTACAACTTCAGCATTTGGGGCAACCCAACTAGATTAGGAGTCCAGAGAACTGGGTCTGAGTCCCCAAAACACAATGAAAATCTAGAGGCAACACAGGCCAATGGCTACAATTCTAAGCTCGGGTCCACAGGTTGTAAAATCAGGTTCTATCACTTACAAACTGTGGGACCTTAGATAAGGCACTTTCTTCACACTGCCTCCATTTCTTTTCCACCTGTAAAGTGGGAAACATATCAGTACCTCTCCTTGAAGGTCAATGGGAAGGTCTAAAATTATAACATTTGTCAAGTAATTAGAATAGTGCCTGAAACAGAGTAAGCACTCAAAAATAAAGCTATTATTGTTTTCATTTTTACTGTCATTATGGGCAAAAAAGGAAGGTGGGCCTCCGTTTTTTGTGAAATATATAACTCTGAAAGTAGAAAGTGATGTAATGAGACAACGGGCTAAGGTCTAACTTCCATTGTTCCTCAGAGATCATGCTAGCAGCCCCTCCTCTTTCAGAGGCGAGGACCTTGAGACCCAGAGAGGAAAAAGACACCCAGCAATTCCATGGCAGGACCAGGGCTAGAATCCAGAGGCCCCTTGGACTTCCAGGCCAGCATGCCCTCCACGGAGCTGAGAACTGCCAGAGAAAGTGTGCAAGTTTACCTAAGAGTCCGGCCAACCAGATACATTATTCTCTTTTTCAGACTTCATTTCACTGTTAAAATTTCCAGTTAAAAACCATTTCCCCTAAATTAAGCTGCTGCTGCCTAATAAGCCGCCACAACAGGATTTGAGGGAAGTGGCCATACATCATCCAAAGGAGAGCCTCCTGAGGGTCGTTGTGGGGAGTGTGAGTGTGTGTGTGTGCACTCAACCCAGCCAACAGCAACTCAACTCATCACTGAAAGAGGAGGCCGAGCCCAGGCTAGCTCGCCGGGCAGCTGCCTGCTCTGGGAGACAGAGACAACAGTGGCAGTTCATAAATCTAGGTGTTGTAGCAGCCGCTCCCAACCTCCAGAGACATCCAGAGAGAGCCAATTTGACTCACTGCCTCCACTCCCCTCCCCATCTGTTGCAGAGGAGCCGAGGAGCTCTGTTAGAGTCCCTTTCGTCCCTGCCTCTGGTTTGCACAGCGACAGGCAGGTCATCAGCCTCTGTGATGAATTCCCGTTCTCCACTGGCCTTGACTGTACCGCTGTCCACACAGAAGTCAGCCCAGCACCGGGATCCAGGAACCTTTCCCACTGGACTCACGGCTGTCAAAGGTTTTACAGCATGACTCACAATGCATCTCCCACTGCCACCTTGCACACACACACACACACACACACACGCCACTTCACAGTGCTCACTCTTTCTACATGTGGTATACTCGATGGCATCCATTAGGCTCTGTTTTTTGAATGGTCACACCCCTTACATTAATTTCACGGCTAAGGAGTCACTGGTCTACAGTGTGAAAAAGAGGAGCAAGCATGACTCATCTCCTGAGTCCCAGGCCCTCGAGTCAAGGACACATTCTGTGTTTCTTGGGGGAATAGTTTCTAGTGCCACTTTCTCCCAGGGAGTTCCCCATGCAAGTAGAAAGAGACCAATGTGGGCGTTAGCATAGGAACGGGGGATGCAGAACAATGCAATCATGATCCCCAGGGCCAGTGGAACCCTCATGGCTTCTTTCCCCAGGCCGCCCTCACTGTTCCTGTTTACTGGCTTCCCGTGAACTTGGGCTCAGAGCGTTCAGCTTCTCATGTGCCACTTAGGAACGCAGTCATTGTGAGCAGCTGCGTAAGTTCTCTGAGCCTCAGTTTCTCTGTCTGTAAATTGGGGGTTGCTTTTGCGATTAATCACAGAGAGCTTGCAACACCTCCTGGCATCTGCATGCTTGATACGCATCACCTGTTGTTGCTGAGCGTGCCTTTAGCCACAGAATGAGCCAGTGTCCTTCCACTGTGGAGAACAGAGGATTAGAGGGTTATAATATTCTAATTATTTTCCTCATCCAGTATGTGGCCAGGTCTGAAAGTCGTCCAAGTGATTAAGACGTGGCAAGCAACTTATGATGGAGGAAGTAGAGATGCTGGTCTGGGAACTAAATTGTGCAGGAAGAATGTGGCACTTGCCCAGGACCTTTCTCTGTTCCTCTTATGAATCAACACTACACATTTATTAGAAATATCTGTCTTCTGTGGCTGTAAATCAGGAACACTGGCAACTAGAGGCCCTATTTCTAGTGCAGTCTTCTCCCCCTGGTGGAGTTCCACGGGCTTCCTGATGTCAGCATCGAACAGCTATGGCCCTTAAGAGGCTCAGAGGCCTCCATTCAACCAATAAGTACGGAGGGCCAGGGCCACCAGCAGCACGACCGCAGTGCCCAGAGGCAGCACGACTCCACAAGAGCCAGGGCACTTCCCCCAATTCCCTCCATTGCTGTCACAAAAGGCCACCTCAGTGCAATATCATTTTAGACTCCAGAAGTGAGGAATGGTTGAATCAGTCAGGGATGATGACAATGAGGAAGAGGAGGGTGATAAAGAGAAGGGCAGGGAAGAAGCAGTAGGTTACTTCTAATCCTCACACCAACCTTGCCAGATGATACTAATACCACCCCTTTTATTAGAATACTAAGCCTTGGGGATACTGACATACTGAAGGCCATATAACCATTATATGGCAAGGCCAGGATTTGAATCCAGGTCCATGTGACCCCAAATATGACATTGCTCTTCCCACTACGTTAAGCTGCCTCCCAAAGATGGGTTTTCCCTACCATAGTGAGTCCCAACAGTTTGGATTTCCAACTTTCCTTTAATAATTCCTAGGGGAGCATTTATCAGCGAATCCGCCCACTTGTTATTTAAACCCAAGCTCATCTGATCACACCACGGACTCCAAAGGTGCCTCTGCACAGCAAGCACTAATCCTGCAAATGGCTTAACGTATTGTAAACCTGAGTTGTTACACAGGTATTCGTGTTTTAAAAAGAGAGAGAGAGAGAAACCCACTGTGAACAGTATTAAAACAAATTGATTCAATATAGATTTGTATTGTGCAAACTTTCTCGGTGTATCTGCTATTAATCTTCTGGGAGCACTTAGCTTATTTACTCCAAGAACGTTGCTGTTTATCTAATTGTATCAAACATTTAATTAAAAGAGCTCTCTGCTTGCCGCCGATGCTCTGAGGTTGCATCTGAGCTGTGTCCCACGAGGACGCAGTATCTGTTACTAGGTGTTTCCAAATGAGAGAAGGTCAGTCAAATTATTAGTGGTTCTAATTAGTTTTCGCACAAGCGGCCATATTATTTAGAACCAAAACTATGTAGCAGGGGATTTTTTCCCCTCGTCTTTGAAAATAGCAACAAAAAGCAGAGTAGACTGCCAATGATTTTCTTAAAATATCCTCGCATCCAGGACATGGCTCCCCAGTGCTTCCCCTGCACCTCCGGTCACTTCTTCTAGAAACTGTACCTTTGCTCCCATAATGTGATGGTGCCTGTAGGGGACTTATAGGCTCCAAGGCCCGTGCATGCTTGCAGTCTCCTTTCATCCTCCTCCAACTAGGATTCCAAACTGACAGGGAGGGGTAAGGAGACCAGACAGGTTACACGCCAGGAAAGCATCTCAGAGCCCGTAGGCGGCAGAGAGGCAATGGGACCCAGCCTTCCATCTCTGAGTGAGGGGCTTTCTTTATCTGCTGCCTCACAGATGCCGTACGCTTTAGGCGGGAGTTAGCCAGAAGTCGACCCTGAGCCAAAGACTTGGGTGAACTTGACTTATTAAGGAAGGGTGCCAGGAGAAACCAGGGAGGGAGTGGGGGACGGAGGTCAGGAGAGGGAGGAAGCCAACCCAGGGTGTAATTTTAGGCAAAGTCTCAGCCTCCGCCTGGTCTAGCAGGGGGCTCTGGAGAGGAAACTGCTTCGAGTTTGCCCTGCCTGGAAGCTGCAGAGCAGGTGGGCATTTGTACCCTCTCACTGGTTGGTTACAGGCAACTGAAAAGATTGGGAGAAAGTTCATTCCCAGTTCCTGTGCCCAAAGGTAACTGTCCTGTGAAGATCCCTTGTAGGAGCCTTTATATCACCGGTTCTCAACCTGTGGGTCGCGATCCCTTTGGCGGTTGAACGACCCTTTCACAGGGGTCGCCTAAGACCATCCTGCATATCAAATATTTACAATATTATTCATAACAGTAGCAACATTACAGTTATGAAGTAGCAACGAAAATAATTTTATGGTTGGGTCACAACATGAGGAACTGTATTTAAAGGGCCAGAAGGTTGAGAACCACTGCTATACAGCAAAGGTGAGGCTGGGCACACAGAGCTGGAAAAGGGATCTCAGGACACCTGGGCGGCAGGGGGGAGGGATATGCCGACAGTGTCCAACACCATGATTTTTTCATTCATCAGCAAGCATGAACTGAGCACCTACTAGGTGCCAGATAACTCTTTCATATGCACTCTCCTGATATCCCCTTCCCCAAGTCAATTTTAAATTTTTAAAATTGGATTTATTGGGGTGACACTGGTTAATAAAATTATATAGGTTTCAGGTGTACAATTTTATACGACATCACCTGTATATTGTCTGGTGCGTTCACCACCTCAAGTTAAGTCTCCTTCCATCACCATTTCCCCTTTACCCTCTTCTATCTCCCTGCACCCCACTTTCCCTCTGGTAATCAGTATACTGTGGTTTGTGTCTATGAGTTTTTTGCTGTGTGTGGGTGTTTTTTTGTTTGGTTGGTTGGTTGGTGTTGTTTTTTTTTTTTTGCTCTCAGTGTGTTCTCTGTATCTATGAGTCTGTTTCTATTTTGTTTGTCACTTTATTTTGTTCATTAGATTCCACATATAAGTGAAATCATATGGTACTTATCTTTCTCTGACTGGCTTATATCACTTAGTACAAGGGTCCTCAAACTACGGCCCGAGGGCCACATGCGGCCCGCCGAAAACATTTATCCGGCTCGCCGGGTGTTTTTGCCGCCACTGCCTGTCCTGCTTAGCAGGCGACTCGTCCCGGGTCCGCAGTGTGTATGTGTGGAATGTCTGAGGGACAGTGAACTGGCCCCCTGTTTAAAAAGTTTGAGGACCTCTGACTTAGTATAACACTCTCCAGGTCCATCCATGTTGTCACCAAAGGTAAGAGTTCCTTCTTTTTTATGGCCGAGTAGTGTCCCATTGTGTAAATGTACCACAGCTTTCTTATCCACTCATCTGCTGATGGGCACCTGAGTTCCCAAGTCAATTTTAATCTCATTAGTTTGATCTCCTTTATAGCACTCATTTCTGCCTGGGATAGTCTCCATTCACATTCAATGGTTTGCTGTTTATTTCTTCCTTCTGCAATGAGAGTTTCACAGGAGCACCAGCTCAGGCTGTCAGGTTCACCACAGTGAAGCCAGTCCCAAGAGGTGATACCATCCCTCGACCTGAATGGGGGAACCAGCGGTGAGAATGGGAAGACACTGGAGGCAGAAGACAGAGTGCAAGGGCACCGGGTTGGAAATGAACTTGGAGTTTTTAGTTTTTAAGGAATGGAGAGGAGCCTTAGTGATGGAGAGGGAGGGGATATATGGCGTCAGCCGAAAAATAAAGGGCGTTGTCGCCATGGTAGGTAGGATGGCATTTACTCAAGCTACAGTGGGAAGCCATCAGAGAGAGGCCACGCACTACCTAGGGTGATGGCACTTTTGTGAGGGTGACTCACTCCAACCCCTCATCATCTCTCTGATGACAGGCTCCTCTGTACCTCTTTCAACCACAGCAGATAACACGGAAAAGCTGTGAGGGCTTTTTCTGGACTGATTTTCTATTCAGCAACTTATTGATGAATGCCAAAAGTGTATATGTAGACTTATGTCAACAAGATGTGATAGTGAGATTTAATAGAGACAAATTATCCACACACACGAGACAGAAAATCTTTGCAGCGCTGCAATCCTCATACTGCTGAGCTTAGCAAGTTGGGATTTGTTTTTGGAAGCTAGAATTTCAATAGCAGGATGCACCCCGTTTACCTCCTTTCTTCCTCTCTGTGCATTTCTGAATAGACACGCATACCCCGCAAACCTCCATACATTTCAGCGGAGAATGAGAGCAGGTGTGATCACTCCCGTCTCAATGCAGTAAGCACGGCCCCATGAGGGAGGATTGGAGCGGTGTCGGAGTAAAAGAACTGGTGGGAAATGAAAAACTGATTCTTTCAAGTCCTTTGAAGACATTTCAGGTGAGTCAGGTGTGCTGAAAATGGGGCTGATTGGCCACAGAGTAAAAAGCAGCTGTCAGGCTCGGCCAGCATGGCTCAGTGGTTGAGCATCGACCCATGAACCAGGAGGTCACAGTTCGATTCCCAGTCAGAGCACATGCCCGGGTTGTGGGCATGCAGGAGGCAACTGATCAATGATTCTCTCTCATCATTGATGTTTCTATCTCTCTCTCCCTCTCCTTTCCTCTATGAAATCAATAAAAATCTATGTTTTTAAAAAAGCAGCTGTCAGCTTCCTCTCTGGGTAGGGCTTAAAGATGATTTTTTTTTTCATGTCATAGATGAGGACTCCAAGGCATAGAGTCTTTAAGAGATTCCTCCAAGATCACAGAATCAGGAGGTACCTTTAGCCTAGAGCACCCCACTTCACCCCAAGTTTGTCCCTGTCCAGGCTCAGGATCTTCCTCGACATCACACTCTCCCAGGAAGGTGGGCTGCAACCAGAGCTGGAACCCTGAGCCACAGGGCCTCATCACCGGCAAGAGCATCTAAATAAAATGACCACGTGGGGAAACTGCTCCCAAATTAGATCTGGAACCTTTCAGACCTGGGAGAGCAAAGTTTATGGTTCTGTTCTCGCTCCCTTCCGAGGGAAGAGCATTTGCGATCCATCCTCAGCCAGAGAAGATAGCAAGGTCACCTTACCTTTTTGTCACTGAGGCCAGTCACTTGGTCCACAAATTCCTCCTGGATCATGAAGGCAGCCAGATTGGCCGTGTAGCTGGCCAGGAATATGACGGCAAAGAAGGCCCACACGGACACCATGATCTTGCTGGTGGTGCCTTTAGGATTCTGGACAGGCACGGAGTTGTTGAACACCAGGCCCCAGAGGAGCCATATAGCTTTTCCAATCGTAAAAGAAGGCCCGTGGGGTGCTGCAAACGACAGAAAGGACATTCTCAGCAGCTTCCCAAAATGTGGGTGTTTAATAACTACTCGCTGGCCGCTGACAGTTGCTAGAAGATGGAATTACGTCACAGTTGTGTCCCTTCATTGCCTCAGAACCACAGCCACCATATCTCCTTTTTTTCTTTAAAAATCAGAATTCGTTCTATATTTCTATCTAACTGGGGTTTTGCCATGTTTCTTAAAAGAAAATAAAAGGAAAACAAGAAAGGAAGAAGAAATGATTATGCCAAATGTGGATTTGAGTGACAAGTAGTGTTATGACCAGTTTTAAATTTCAATTTGATTTCCATGGGAGGGCAATCTCCTCGATACACGTAAAGAAAGCTCTCAGAAACGTGGGGCAGGGAGGGGGGTTGCTTCGGTATTCATCCCATGTGCTATCGCATAAGAACCATGCGATTCAGTGGGACTGGTGTTTGGTATTCTAATGCGAATGCCCCTAGCACTTGCTCCTATTCAAACTCAGATGTAAAGTGTTCACAATATAGGAATAAAACTCTCTCCAAATGGAGACATGAAGGAACAGAACTACAGGGCTTAATTCTTCAAACACTTCACAGACGGGAGACGCTTGGTTGCAGGATCATGGAAAACGAACTGTGCTATCAGGACACTCTTCCTCTCCATGTACCCTGACACACGTGTGTCCCTAAGATTCTTAGATGTTCCCTGCAGCAGCCTTAACTCAAGAGGCAGAACAACATGTTGAAATGTATTGGGGTGAGGAGGGTGCAGACCAGAAAAAGCACACGTTAGGGCTTTTAGATCTGTTTTGCACAAGAGGGGAAAAAAATCAATGTATGCCCTCATTTCATTGTAGAAAAGGTCTTCCTTTAACAGAAGGTTAATTTTTATGCCATTTAAGTAAATGAAGATGTAAAAAAATGATCTGCTCAGACTTCAGCTGGAGATGCAGGCAGCGTGGGCAATAAATCAAGTGGCAGAAGTGAATGCAGATTGATGGAAGTGATGAAGTTCTGGGCAGGGAGCCTAGGAGACACAGGCTTTTCCCACACTGGAGGCCAAATGCAGGCTACAGCGATACTTATAATATCCATACACAACGCAGAAAAGAAAAGGCAATTAATTGTATTCTTTCTGACCTCAGTCTCTTCTGTTTCTCTTTGCCCAGTTTTATGATCTTCTGGGCTCATTCCCAACAGACCGAGAACTCAAGAAAAAAATAATGAGAGTCAATCCACTTAACTTCACGAACCACTTCATTTTATTAAGAGCGCATGTTGATCAGAAGTGACAGCTCTTTGGGAGTCAGGAATAGGCAGTTGCAAAGGATCTGTCCGAGACTTTTGGGAATTCCTGATTCATGAATACTATTACCAGGCTATATAATTTTGCCATGAAGTGCAGTGAAATGGAAGCCAAACCCATTTTGCACAAAGAAACAAGTAGCTGCTATTTCCTGAGTTTCCACATGCAGTTGAGCAGGAAATAGAAAGCCCTGATGTAATGGAAAGGCTGGAGAGTTCGCATGCTAGGTTCTTTACTTTACAATGACCTTCTCATGAGTGCTTTGGCCACAGGAGAAATTATTGCACATGATGGCCTCTGAATGATTTTTTTATTCTCTGAGATATATCTCAAATTTATCCACTTATCTCCATCTCCATTACCCCATCCAAGTCCAAACCACTGTGATCTTTTCTCTTGGGGATCGTACACCTTCCTACCTAGTCCCCTCCTTCCAATGCTGCCACCCTTCCCATTGTCTTGACAGAATGGCTCCAGGGACCTTCCACACTGGCCACGTTTCATTCCCCCTCTTCCCTTCCATTATATATTGAAGAAAACCTGAAGTGTTTACCACAGTCAGCAGCCTATCTTTCTGACTTCATCTTATACCATTGTCCACCTCTCTCACTCACATCTTCTCTGTTTCTTAAGCATATCAAGATCTATCCCATGTCAAGGCCTTTGTATTTGCTGTTCCCTCTCCATGGAATGCCTTTCCCTTCGTTTTTCTCATGACTGAACTCTTCTCATTCTTCAGGTCTCAGCTCCAATGTCATCTCTTCCAAAAGTGCTTCCTTGTTCAACCGTCTTATTTAAGTAGCATCTCCATTCCATCAATTCACTTTGTTCCCCCCGCCTTCTTCTTGAGAATTATTACAATCTGTGATTATTAATTCGTGTATTTATATGTTGTCTCCGCAACTAAACTCCCAGCTCCCTGAGGGTCAGGAAGTGTCTATCCAATTTACCAAGTTATCCCCCTGCACCAGTACAGTGCCTGGCACATAGCACCCACTCAACAAATAGTCACCAAATAAGTGCACAAATTCATAAATAGCACAGACGCTCATTCTGCACATGTGAAGACCTACTCTATTGATCACCCACAGAAAATCGTCTCAGGTTCCACTCTATCAGAAAGCTCCTTACTTGCTTGTTGCATCATCCTGTTAGTGAAGATTTGGGTGATGCTCCCATTCAAATTCAACATGATTTTTATGGCATTTTTACTATGTTTGGTTGATTGGAGATGGTTTATATAGTAATCACCACTCTTCAATGGTGAAGAAGAAGTGGGAGGAGAACAATAAAACAAAGTTCCTAATAGATTCCCCGGACCTGCTGGCTGTTTCCAACATTGGATCTTCCGCATGAAAAGAATATATGCGAATTAAAGCGTCTTGTTTTTTAATAACTGTACCTTGAAGATCTGCTGTCTTCTACAACCTCAAGTCATTTTTCAGGAAGGAGAGTTGGTCCTGGCACCTTTCTAATATACCATCCACTTAGAATTTATTGTGCACTGAGGAAAATTCACTCAAAATGATGTAATGTGTTTATATACATGACATGAATATTGGCTTGCGTGGGAGCCTCTTAATAAGTTATAGCCAATGAATGCCTCCCAATTCAATTTCCTATCTACTGATTGCCACTTTGTCAAATACACTGCACTAAGGTCAGGCGCTGTCAAGAGGAAAATATAACTCTTTGGGAGAAAATACCATTTTATAATTACATTTATTGTTGAACGAATATAATTATGACGCAGTACTTTGGATGATATTCTTAAACTAGATTCTGTAAAGCCATTTCCTTACACAGATTAAAGTTGAGACTCACTTCAATTTTAATATTTCTTTTGACACAGATATTTTTAATTAATTGCCAAAAAATATTCATCAAATCTGCTTACTCAACAAATGGAATACCAGTTTCCACTTAACTATGAACTCCAGGTTATAACAAGACAAAATGCTTCATTTTGTTTTATCTCTTTTTTTTTCAGTTGAAGTGAATAAGCAATACTTGTATGGAATTAAAAGTAATATCAGCCGAAACCGGTTTGGCTCAGTGGATAGAGCGTCGGCCTGTGGACTGAAAGGTCCCGGGTTCGATTCCGGTCAAGGGCATGTACCTGGGTTGCGGGCACATCCCCAGTGGGGAGTGTGCAGGAGGCAGCTGATCGATGTTTCTCTCTCATCGATGTTTCTGACTCTCTATCTCTCTCCCTTCCTCTCTGTAAAAAAATCAATAAAATATATTTTAAAAAAAATAAATAAATAAATAAAAGTAATATCAATGACCATTCGTACAATGGTTTAGCAAGACAAATGGAGGATCCTGTGTTCTAAATCTGAAACGTCAATGGAAAGTAAATAGCATTAATGTTGAATCGTGTTTATGAAGCGGTTCTCACCTTTCCCTTTGGCTAAGTTTCTGTTGTATCCAACAGGACTGAAGTATTCAAAGACAAAAACAGCGATGGCGGACACGATGAGCAGCATCACAAACATCATCACCCAGACGGAGGCGCTGAATGGTTCTGCAGAGAAACAGGCCAGAGGGATGGAGACATGATCAGTCTGCTCTTCCTCACAGCCAGGGCCAGCAGGAAGCCCAGAGGTCCATTTTCAGGCTCACCGAGAAACTTTCTCTCATGTGCATCTGATCGTTCAAAGGGAGCTAGTCATTTTTTATTCATACATTTGAACCATTCTTTATCCTACAAAATATTTGAGGCACTTTTATAAGACTGCACAGACTAGGATAAAAATAGAGAAGAGCATATGACATTTTGCAAATCAGGTCAAGGATAATAAAAACAAAATAGAATGATAATACCAGGAGAGGAAGCTAGAATGCAAATAAAGAGGCCACAGGAGCCTATATAATCATAGAATCATCCAGGGAACCAAACCAAGGCTAGACTCCAATAGTCAACCATCAGGCTCCTGCCAATTACCATGGGTTTTATTGTTGTTTCAATTTTTATTTTTACATGCCAGAGGGATGGTGTGCAGGGGATTCTAGAAGTAATCGGGGGAGTTACAACCTGTTAGAAAAGGATCATAATGCGTGGGGTTGATAGGAATATTGGAAGGCCGTGTCTGCACCACTGCTCACACACTCTCCCTCTCACCTCCTGCTAAGACAGGTGAGATCTCTACAATTTCAGAACCTTGTTGTTGTTGGTAATGGGCTTCAATGCAATTGGAAAGTCATTTGAAGGCATTCCCATGACAATTCAATCAAAGGGCAGAGGAAATGAAGTAGTAGATGGATAGACGACTATTGCCCCTGAAAGTAGTTTCCACAAGATCCTTTTTATGTGGAGGTCACAGGAGGGAAGGCCAACTCACAAGGTTCTAAATCTTAGGACACTCTAAAAAGTAAGAGATATTCTATAAAATAAATGAACATTCTATTCAGTCTGGTTGAGGATATGAAAATGAGCTGAATAGAGGCATTTTATCTGTGTATGACATAGATTTGCTAGAAAATCACAGACTAAAATATTAAAAATGAATATAAAGCACTGGACAAAATAATAGTACAATACTTAATAAGTAATAATATAAGAATAAACTCTGTGTTTCACATACTCACAACTGTACGCCTACTTTGGCCCACCCTGGATCCTCACCGGAATGCATCATTGAAAAGAAACTGCCTTTGACACCAATGAACTTATAATCCTTTTTATAATAAGCAAACATTTTCTGAGGGTAAAATGTAAGAAGCCTAATAATACCTTTTGGACAGTAGACATTTTATTATTTTTAAATTGTTTTTCTGATGGAGCTAGTAATACTCATAAAGAACTAGGCTGATAGCAGACCGCCTTCTTATTAAAGTCTGTGACTACCTAACAGAGCTAGAGGTCATCACAAATTCCCACTTAATGAACTTAATATATAACAAGAAACTAGTTTGTCTGAAGCTTTAACCGTATTGGATACTTCTAAAACTTTGTGATGCTGTTTTTTAATGTTTTTTTATTGTTTGATTCTGAGAGAGACAGGAAGAGGGAGGGAGGGAGAGAGAGAGAGAGAGAGAGAGAGAGAGAGAGACATCGATCTGTTGCTCCACCCATCCATGCAGTCACTGGTTGACTCCCACCCTGGCCAGGGACTGAACCTGGAACCCCAGTGCATCAGGATGTTGGTTAGAACCCTAGTTCTAACCCACAGAGCTACCCGGTCAGGGCTATATTTGACTTGAGGAATTTCCAAACTTCCCTATAGCAGCTGTACTATTTGCAATGCAGTTTTGAAAGTGTAAATATGTTAAAAAAGCAACAGATAACAACAGAAATCACTTGACTTGTATAACACAAGATGAGCCTGAAGAAATCGTTGGTACAACTGAAATTTATCTTAGTTAAATTTAGCTTGAGTAACAAACAATATTAGGTCCCCGAAATAACAGAATTTGGTAATGAGGTGTATCCAAAAACGGGGGAGAAATAAATGAATAATGAAGAGATTAAAATTACTTAATATTAAGAATAGAGATGTTAAATTAATTCTCCAGGTTTGGTAAACTAATGGGATAGTGTGTCTTAACAGAGAGGATCATTGTGATGAGCAAATGAACATGTGCATGGGAAACATTTGGTAGTATGTGCTGCACACTGTATACATGTAACAGACTGGATGAAATAGCTGTTTGATTCTACAGCGAAAGCCAGACTTGCTGGTGCGGGGTGCTGTTCAGGGTCCCGAAAATGCATCCTGGTGTTTAAAACATGCCCACTTATTACTCTGATAACTCCCTTTTCTCTGCAGGTTGCCATCATATTATAAAACATCAGAGGAAACCCTCCCTGAATTCTATTCACATGTCAGAATCTGTGAACCCACAGTGGGCTTCATTTGGCAACTGATTCATCCTAGTCACCGACTGGTCAGAAAATTAGGCGGAAGCTGAGCAAGTAACTGATGCCAGATGATTTCCAACTTGGAAGGGACAACATCTATCCCTTGACTTGTGCGCATGGCACAGAAATATAAGTGTTCTGCTGCAGGATTCTGATTTTAGTAAGTTTAAATTAGGTTCCTATTAATGCCCTGAAGGGTTGCTATTGTCAGATAGCACAGATGCACGCACGCGCGCACCCCCTCCCCCAACACACACACCACAACAACAAAGAAAAGCACTAGAATAGTGGTGAAGCACTATCTATAATGTTTAAGGAGTGACCCAGAAATATGTTTAGATAACTCTGGATGACATCCTCTACTGGCTTAAAACAGATTCAACATTTATCCATGAGGGAACTTCAATCTATGAGACTCCAGGTCAGCATTTCTTTGGATCAAAGAATCCAACCTGCTTAGAAAGTCTTTAGAATTAAATGAATGGAAATATTGCAAGAGATGTCATCTCTGTCCTTGAAGAGCCGCTGGTTACATTTTTACACAAAAGCTTAGAGGCATTACCTGCAAGGGTTTCAGATGTGAGTTAATGGGGCTTGCGGAGGAGAGAGAATAGGAAATAATGAAGAGCCATGCAATCAGATTTTGAATGTTTTGGCTCTTCCAGATGACTGAGCCAGCGAATGGAAAAAATGTAGCTTAGCACGCTTCATTATGGCTTTGAAAACCTGCAGATAATGACCGTAAATAAAGGGGTGTACAGTCGATCGAATAGGGATGTAATTTAGTGACTAGGAAAAATATTAAGCCTACTGGGTAAAAACAGCTTGGAAAATAGTGTCCCCCAGCTACAATTTATTTTGTTTTATTTTATTTTAAAAATACAGTAGGAAGAGTAAGGGAAAAAGGAAGTTTGACTAAATTTAGCAAAAATACTTGACTTTTTATGGAAATGTTCTACTAATGCAGATAAGATAAAAACCTAGGGAAACTGGGTTGAAGCCAGATTCAATATCAGTGACCCATTTTTATGAAACAAGCCAATTGATATTTTTGTCTCTCTGATTGAACTGGAAAGAAACTTCTGTCTAGCTCACTAAGGAGATATGTGGACAATTTGTGAAAAGAAAGAGATCTCTTTCCATGAATTCACCTCCTCCAACCCTTTCCTAATCTCCAGGGCCAAAGATCCCTATTAAAGGGTCTGATAGGAAACTGGGGGTTGGAGGGATGACTAAGAGTGACTAATGAGTGAGAGTCTATCCAATAATTATTAAGATTCTGTACATGTTGCATATATGGATCAGTGGTTTGAAATATGGATCATATTTCATGGTATAGTAAGGCTCCCTTCTTAAGACATGGGCATTGTTATCCATATCAGACAAAGGCACAAAAGGAACACAGTGAGGTGTATATTTGTAAAGGTCTACAATATGCCAACAAAGGCTATGACATTTGAAGCAACGGGTGCAAAATCGTAATCCAGTGAGTGGGATGGATTTCAACAGCTTAAGTGATTATAAAAAAATGAAAATAGTAAATCCATGTTTCTATGAGTAAGGCAATATCCAAAATCCTGCTCGTCAACATTTCACTCAGGAGAATAAAGAATAAAAGTGTTGTTGGGTGCTGACATTACAAGTAAATGAAGACAGTGGAGGAATAAGGCAATGGGCTGGGAGATGGTGTCCACAAATTGGCTCTAGTCTGCAATCTTAATTCTCTGATAGACAAAGGGTGCTGTTGTTGTTATTTTCATCTTTTAAAAAAAGTGATAATTTAGTTGAACTTAATCGAACTATTTTTCACCCTCATACTGTTTTCTTCTAGGAGAAAATGTTGATCTTAACCTTCCCAAATTTAAGACAAAACCACTAAAAGGGGAATGTCAAGGGCAAGTTCATCTGAATTCCATGGTCTTCAAGATAGCCACTATCAAAAAATATTCATGCTAACCAAACACTCAACTTAACCTTTCTCTTTAAAGAAAAAATAAATAATGCTTGGCTATGTTCTGTGCAGTTTCAATTACTCTAGTCAGGCTACCTATAGCATATATATTTATAGTGCTAAAGAAAACCAGATGACAGAAAATACAAATCTACTTTGCCTTAAAACAATCTTCTGTAAAAACATGAATTTATGAAATAGTTAAAAGGAGCATAAATAGAATTTCCTCCTTCATAAGCCATTCAGCTTAAAGGATAGTCATTTACTAGTAAAATATGACTGTTAATTTTAAATCAGTGTTTACTCTTCAGACTACTCCTATGTTGTTTATTAGAGTAGTGGCATAAATCACTGTGCAGTCACCATTATTTTCACTCTTATATCCAGAAATAAGTGCCTCTCATTCTAGTGAGGGATGGAGGATAGGGATGTAGATGCTCAATAATGGTCTATGGGATGACTTAAATTAACTGGGGACAGACAGGTTTATACTTTAAATGTCTTCAAGACTTTAAGAAATATGTCTACTGATCTACATTCTACACAATCAAGTTCAGTATCTAAATATGTGATTGTGTTTTCAGCAGATTTTTCCAAGTTCAAGATAAATGAAAGATGTTAACTGAGGAAGAAAGTGAATTGGGATCATTCAAATGTGACACGTTTTGGAATATGTTGATGTGGTTAAAATGGAACTGAACCAGTTCCTACCTGGTTCCGTCCTTGGAGCAAACAAGACAAAATACCCAAAGTTCATTGCAGGAAAACAAGAGAGACTATGAAGGTCAGATACCTAGAAAAGCAGAAGGTGACACGGTGCCGTTGCTTCTTGAAACCATGACGCTGATTCCCGTCTCCACAAAGGGCACAGAGAAGTCCACCACTTCCGAACGCTCCTCATTGATGGTGAGGGAGCCGACTGCCATCACCGCCCGCTGATTGACCACCTGGGTACAAGGCGAAAAAGCACAGCACCTTTATTTATCCTCCCCCCCAACCCCGAGGACCTCAGGCCCGAAGTCTGAAGGGGAGCCCGTGGGATGAGAAGAGAACTTACTTCCCCGATCATTCCATTCCACACGTTGTTCACTTTTTTGCCATGCTTCCCATTCGTCACCAGGTAGAGGTCATAGGTAAACTTCACCGTCCTGGAAAGCTTCTTTAGGATGTCAATGCAGAACCCCTTGCAGCATTTTTTCACATTCACTCCCTCATTGGTGGAATTACTGTAGAGGAAAATCCCAAGACCACAGACTGTTAGCACTGGAAAATTTGTTCATAATCATTAGCTACGCTCTTCCGCTACTTTTCACATGGGAAATTGCGGCTCAAAGTGAGGAAGTGGCTTTTCCAAGGACGTGCGGTGGGTTTATAACAGCAAAAGTGGAAAGTGCTCTTAATTATGAGATAATCATGACAACGGCTAACAGTTATTGAGTAATTACTACTGGCTATGCACTGTGCTAAATGCTTTGTACTAATTATTGGATTAATCTCCATGACATTTCTCTTAATTAGGTAGTATTTGTATCCCGATTACACAGTGAGAGTGACTGCCTCTTATTTTTAGAAGTTTATAGCACATGTACCCTTTTCAGACCAGGTCTGGTCTAAGCTGACTTATAAAAACTTCCTGGAAAATGGAAGAGGATGTGAAATTCGCAGGGAAAGGAGAGTTTGCGGTACCCTATCACTGCAGATAGAGGTGCGCATCCAGAGGGACAAAGTGAGGGTGACTGGCTTAGGAAATGCCTTTCCTTATTGAGAAAAAACTGCCTCAGCCAAGAATCAGGAGACTTGAGGTTTACCCCCTGCCTGAGTCCATAGATTCATGTCTCATGATTGAGTCATCTGTTTAACCAGGGCTCCTTCATCCTTAACATTTTCCCTCCCTACCTACTTGGCAAGAAGTGTAAAAGGTGACACTATTAAATAGCAATGCCGTTAATCAGAAAAACAAACTTTGTTAAAATACAGAGTTTTTTAAAAACTGTCTTAAAAGCTATAATAATCTACCAGGGTTACAGTCACTGCTCGGTGCCTGCCACCTTGCTTTATTTACCTGACGAAGTCATACTCAAAGGACACCCACAAAAGTCACCCATAAAAATGACTTTAAAAAAGAAGGAAGCAGGGACCTTGGCAATTGTTAGCCAAAAGCACATAGAGACAACTCGTGTAGGAAGATTGAGACCTCTCTGAGCAGCACAGTGATTCTACCTTGCACTTGGCGATTCTATTAGCTCGACTCTCTGCCTTTGAGTCACGCATGCCATGAGATATGTGCTCTGCTTGAATATCCCATTGTTGGCACATCTACACTCAAACTATTACCTGAGCACAGAAATGATGTTTACAGAAACCCAACCTCATAATAGGAAAATACCTACGTTTCCACATCATATGAAAAAGTAGGCTATATATAAAGTGCTATCTACAGAATGATCACAGCTACATAAAAACAGATGAGCTTAGGAAATACCTGAATGGAAAAAAACAATAAAATATGAAGCCTAGCTATTTTTGAATGGTAAAAAATGTTTTTTCCTATTTATCCCCCCTTACATTATCTATAGTGAGTACATACTACATACATAAATAGATATAAACACACATCAAGCACCATTAGTGTAGATCTGCATCTACACCCATGAGTATAAACAGATTTGATCAAATAACTGTGAGATGTGAAATTGGGTTGCAAAATGAAATCTTTATTTCAATGTTTTGCTTATCTCAGAATCACAGATCACCTATTCTGAATGGCTGTTTCATCATTGCCTACTTCCTATCCTGTCCCCAATCTCTGCTCAACCAACTTGCTTCTCTCAGCCAGGACCACCGTGGAGACCTAATTTCTAGCCTAGAAGCTGGATAACCTGCTCTGACCCTGCCACCCTCAGCTTAGGGGTCATGGGAGGTTACATCTGTGTACATTTACATATAATGACTGGTGGACTCAACTCTACAGTGTAACAGGAAGTAGGTACCTTGCCTATCCCCACAAGTTCCCAGAGCAAAAGGGGGCCAGGCTGGAATTACAACTGCTATAAGTATATTAAGTTAATAGCATGTCCAGATATGATTTCCTTCTTGGCATCTGTGACTCTGAAAAATGTGTCAAAATCAAATTATCTTTCTTCCCAGCCGCTATAGGCCGTGCATCGATGCCTCTTGTCTACCTCTTTCCATTTGTGTCTCCCTCACTCTCTGCTGCTTTGTTTCTTTTATCTTCCTTCCCCTGGTCAAGATTCCTGGAAGAGTTTGGACAAGAATTACAGATGCCCCAGGTTTAAGATTCAGGGTCACAGGCATATGATGACTTATATGATTCTTTGGCCTCCCTGGGCACCTTAACCAGTTTATGAGTTAATTATACCCCCACACTCCTTAATACTAAGTTATTTCTAGATATGAAGTCATGGAATCATTTTCACCCAGCAAGCACCACTGAGTACCTACTCTGTGCATGACATAGAACTAGGCCCTGGGGACACGGGACGAAGAAGACATGCAGCAAGTACAATAGTTGAATTTATCATGGGGGTTATGGAAACACAACCAGCTTGTAATGGGGAACTTGTAGTTGATTCCTATAACAGCCCGTGTGTGTGTGTGTGTGTGTGTGTGTGTGTGTGTGTGTATGTATGACTTAACTACATCGACCTCTGAGAAATGATGCCCCTGCACTCTCTCTCAGCTCTCTCCCATCACCCAAAAATAAAGGGTGAATCATCAAAACAAATACAGGGAAAAGGATCCAATAAATCCAATTCTTTGGCTCTACAGTTTCCCAGTGTGGCCCCTGGTTGTGAGCATGGCCACGCCAGTCAGACAGAGCTGCTTGCAGATGCCAGGCCTGCTACTAACCACCACAAACACTCAGACGAGTCTCTTCACTCACAGCCTCAGTTTGCTCTTTTGTAAATTGAGAAGGCTAACACTTACCTCGCAGGATAGCTGAGGAGATAAAATAAAGTACCTAAGCACCTCTCACATAAGCACTTAAAAATATATCTCCTCTCTTCTCACCAATGACTTAACAGTTTGGGGGATTAATTGATAGTATGGCCACATTTCTTTCTATGCAGCAAGGCCAGATCATTCTTCCTTAACATTCAACTAGCAGGCTAGAAGAACACTCTGATTTCTCAGCTCATTTCCTACCACCTGTGATTGTAGAAGACTTATGGGTGCCCTCAAGACCCTACCATTTACTAGAAGTGAGAGACAAAGGGTTTTTCTCTGGGAGAACAGCATCAAGAAAACAAACACAATCATGTTATCTAATAAGAATCCTTTTTAGAATCAATTGGCCTGCCTCATGTTACCTTTAAGAAATGCAATTGATCCAATCTGTGTTAATGCTGGGATTAGTGGAACCTAGTAATTTTTCATTGTTCTCGGGTAAAACAAAGACTAACGCTATCTAGATGCACAGTAAACATTTTATGTCCCCAAGTGAGAAAAAGAAAGCTGCAAGTCATCACCTCCCACGGGAACTAAACATGTGAATCTGAACCTGTTAATGTGTTTATATTCTTCAGTGGAAAAGTCAATTCTTTCAGAGAGAGTAATTTATTTGGGGGTTCATTTTCTCCATACAAATGTGACTCAGGACTTGGTGATCTATTGCTTTTGGCTCCAGGGCTTCTGCTTTTAAGACTTTAAACCCTATTATTGATTGTGAAGCGAGGCCCTACTTACTGGCCATACTGAATAGAAAAGGCATTGTTATCATACGGGAGGCTCCTCACGGAGGTTATACTCTTTGCTCTGTGCCAGCCACTTCGTTTTCTTCATCTGACCAAGTTCTGCTCAAAGAACACCCATTCAAATCAAAACATTGACAACTTTCGCATTGTTTCCTCAGCTCATCACTCTATAGCACTGCCCTAGCCTTCATTCTGTTTCCCAAACTTGATAATCTCTTTCCTGCCTCAGGGCCTTTGCACCTGCTATTCCCTCTTCCTGGAAGGCACTTCCCTCAGTTCTTCTCACATTTGGCTCCTTTTCATCCTTTATATGTGACCTTAATTCTTACCTGTGTGAGCTAAAGAAGCCCCACATCCATCAAGCTACCATCCTCTCACACCACCTTCTTTACATCCTTCCCAAAGTTTATCATAACGTGGAACTGCCCTGGTCTTTCATTGGTTGAGTTGATTTTTACCTGTGCCTGCTTCATGACTGCAAGACTTTTGTCTTTTGTCTTTTCTGTCCATAGATGCATTCCCTGTGTCCAGAACTTTGCCTCACTCATAAAGTGTGCTTAATGTGTATTTATTTATTGATCAATTCATTCAAAATTTCAGTGCCAAAGAGGCTGACAACTCCAAAAAGGCTGATCATTATCTTTTGAATAATTTCAGAATTTCAATTCCAAATTGGCTATTGATAACAAAGTGTTCTCCAAACTGAAGTGTGCCTTCAAAATATATTTAGCAATCATATTTTTAAAAATTATCTCTATCCCAAGAGCTGAGCTCTGGGGATTTGCATCTTGTATAATGTGCGAAAAAAGATCCTTTTCCCTGTGATTTCAAGCATCATCAATATCAGTATGTCATGTTTTGTGCTTGTCACTGGGGGTACCAAATTAATAAGTCACATTCCAAATTTGGGCAATTAACAATCCAAGAGGAAATACAGACAAACTATAAGCCACACAAAAAAAAATGGTAACAAAGAAAAAGATAGAGTTGTAGGGACTGGATTTTCGTGTTCCTTCAAATTCATATGTTGAAACCTAATCCCCAGTGTGATGATATTTGGAGGGGGGACCTTGAGGGTAATTTGGTCATGAGGGTGAGGCTCTCATGAATGGAATTAGTGCCCTTATAAGAAGAGCAAGAGAACGTGTTACCTCTCCTCTGCAATGTGAAGATAGGACGATAAGCAGAGGACCCTCATCAGACAATGAATCTGCCAGCACCTTGATCTTGGATTTCCAGCCTCCAGAATTGTGAGAAATAAATGTCTGTTTTTAAGCCATGCAGATTATGCTAACGTATAGCAGCCTGACCTGACTAAGACATGGACACATATCCAGAGTACTGCTGCAGTATGGAGAACTAACCCAACTTGGGGAGGGAGTAGTTAAGGCTTACAGGACAAGCAAGAACTAGTGAGGTGAAAGGAGGCGATCAGAAAATACTCTGAACAAAAAAGATTTCCATCCAACCATAGGCCTTTTCCTTTGGTGAATCCACCACAAGGATGGTATTTTTGTTTATATTTGCAATAGCAAAGACTATAATCAGGGTCTTGGACTTGGCCATGAAGACTTGTGTTTCTCCAACAGGTTTATATGTTAGGGAGAAGCCTTCACCAGAGGCTCTGATACAAAAGTCCATTCCTTTTTCAATTGTAATGAAAGAGGAAGTGACATAGGTGCCATGCTTGCTTGCTGCTGCTAAGCTGGGATTCTGCCAGGAGATCAGGTCCCCTTGATCACACCAGGAAGTCATTTGTAAGGTGTGTGTTGATCCCCAAATGGAGAGAACTTTTGAAAAGTTTTGAAAAGTTTGGATCTAGGAAATATAAAAGAGATGGAAGGAAGTGAAAGGGGTAGGGTTGGGGGAGGGGGGCAGTCAGAAAAATACAAAGAAATTAATTGTTTAAGGAAAGATTGAAAGAGAGGGTTGATTCAGCATAATGGCTAGAACATGGACCAGCCTTTGAGTCTTGCCTCTTCCATTTACCAGCTGAATGGCTTTAAATGCGTTTCTTAATTTTTTTCATAACTCCATTGTTATCACGTCTAAACTGTCAAAATCGCTTACCTTGCATTGCGGTTGTTGAAATTAAATAAGGCAAAACACTTGGAGTAGTTCCAGTTTAAGTATTTAAAAAAATCTATCATTATATTATACTTATTATAACAGGGCCTATTTTACATTACACACACTGTATTCTTTTATAGATTTCGTTATTATCAAGGACACATGCCATTGAAAGGATTGGGCACATTCAACGTCACAGGGTCCCCAACTCACTTGATTTTGACGAACTTCCGACAGGGTACAGTGTTCCTCACACACGACTCAGTCAGCGGGTCTATGTCTTCCACGATGACAAAGGGGGCCTCCTCGAGGGTGACAATGCTCAGATGGTTGTCGTCCGGCTCACAGTCGGAAAAGGACTTGTACCTCGGCCACACGGCGTGCCTCAGGCTCAGGGTCTGGTTCTCCCACTTGCCCACCTGCATCATAAAGACAAAGACAGGCCTGTGCTTTCTAGCACAACTGGTTTCTAGAAAGGCGAGTCTTTCCCCGTGAGAGGAGCAGGAGAAAAATCCAACCCTTTTATTTATTTATTTTTTTTTAATTTTTTTTTTTATTTTTTTTTTTTTCGCTTAAAGTATTACAAAGGGTATTACATAAGTGTCCTTTTTTTTCCAACCCTTTTAATGACATCACGGGGGTTTTGCCTAAGCACTAACACAGTGGTTCGCAAGCTTGGTTGCACATTAGAATCACCGGGGAATCTTTTTAAAATTCTGATTTCTGGGCCTCATCCTCCGGAAATTCTGTTTCTTTGTTATGGGGTGGGGCCACAATATGAGTAACAAAGAAACAGAATTTCCAGAGGATGAGGCCCAGAAATCAGGATTTTAAAAAGATTCCCAGGTGATTCTAATGTGCAGCCAAGGCTGAGAACCCCTGCACTCACACTTTTGGAGCTCCCCAGGTGATTCCCGAGTCCTGCCAGAGTTCAGGATCACTGATGTCATGAAAATAGCACGAATTTTTAGAATCGGAGAGACCTGGGCTTGAATCCGCAACTCTGCCACTCATTAGCTGTACAACCCCAGGCAAGCTCTTAATCACTACGAGCATCTGTTTCTCATCTGAAACTATCCCACCTGCTTTAAAGGTGCCTAAAGTTGGCATAATTCCAACTACTTTATAAAGATGTCAGAATTTTTTATTGATTTGAGAGAAACATCAATTTGTTCCACTTAGTTACGCATTCATTGGTTGATTCTTGTATGTGCCCTGACCCGGAATCGAACCCACAACCTTGGCGTATCGGGATGATGCTCTAACCAACTGAGCTACCCGACCAGGGCAGAATGTGTGGGAATTAAATAAGGCAATTTATACAGCACAGTGCCCGGCACAGAGTTAAGGACCACATACTTTTCCTTTTAAATACAGAAGAGAGACAATGAAAAGGAGGAAGGTTTTTTTAGTGCTATAAAAAAAAGAGGAAAGGGGAAAGGAAGATGAAGTAGAGGGAAGATTAGGGGGAGAGACAACACCAGGGGACAGAGCAGGTGAGGAAACAGAAGCAACACTTCACGCTCAGATATGGTTCTATTTAAGTTGCAGATTGAGGTGAACTTTTATTAATCCAGCACCGAGTGGAGACTTCTGCTTAGTACACATCAAGACCTGTCAAAACAGAATCGATGTGTTCCCTCTGAGCAGCAGCCGGCATCTTAGTGAAATCAAATTAAAGGCTGTGTGTTTTGAACTTTAATTTTATTTGACAGCTTGTTGGCACTGTTCGCATGCACGTGGGAGAAAGCTGCCCCCAGCATCGCACTTTCTCTTTCTTTGCCCTCCTCCCACGTGCAATTGCTTGACACCACAGGTCAGCCTTTTATTTGGAATATCAGCCTCAAGAAAAAGGCCTCGTCTGAAATGCTAAGTGCCAAGTCCAGGCTCGCCTGTGTCGACATGACCCACGGCCTCTCCCCCTGGAATGTAGTGTCGCCAGAAATGAATCGCAGGTCCTTCAAGAGAATTCAGACTCTCTGGACACCAGGAGAGGTGAAGGGGTGGGAGGGGGTGGATAAGGCAGCCAATGTTCTCTACAATGACCTCATCATTTGGACTGGAAAATCTTTGCTTCTTGTAGAGAAATATCCCATGTGGCTAATTAAAAAATTGTCCAGCTTCACGATACCTTTCTTTTTAAGATAGGAAGGGGAGCAGAGTAGTTTGGTCAAACATGTTCATCTACCCATGCTGTGATAGGTAACACTAGCTGGAGAGAATGTTGAGCCCATCAAATTCTTCATTCATTCAACACGGATTTATTGAACACCAACTCTGAGCTGGCACCAGCCCGGGAACACTGATAGATAAACACAGAACAATTGCTTCCTTCTTGGAACTATCAGTTGGCTGCAGGTCAAAGATCAAACCTTTAATAATAAATAGATTAAAGACACATCCAAACCTTTCCTTTTGGGGAATGTTATACCAACTCCCCCCTTGTTTTTTTTTCCCAAAGGCCTGGTAGTTCAGTGGGCAAGCAAATGGCTTTTGGAGTCAAACAGAGCTAAGTATTAATCATGGCTTCTCTACACGTACTCACTACATATACATATACACAATTTCTCATTGGCTGAGTAGCCTTGGGAAAGTCACTCAACCTCTCTGAGATTCACTTTCTCTATCTGTAAAATTCAGATAATAACAGGATACACCTTTCAGGACTATAGGAGCCAAAAATATGCAAGAAACATTGAGCATAGAACTTAGCACGTACCATACATGGTAGCTGCTATTATTTTATTATTGTTGTAGGCATTTAAGATGTAGCTCAAATATCACATAATCTTTAAAGGAATTCCTGTCTTCCCTAGTAACACTGAACTTTGCACCTATCTCCACCACAGCATTTGATGTTATAATTATAACAATATCACTTTGGGGCCAGGAAATGTGGCAATATCACCCAAAATCCTACATGGTGAGGATTATTATTCCAACTTCACAATTCAGACAACGAAAGCACAGCTAATAAGTGGTGGAACCAGAGCAATAGTATGGGGCTGTCTGAATCTAAAGATGTTTTCCTACTCGTGTGTCTATTAATTGATCTGCATTCATCATATTGTAGCTCCAATACCCTTTCTCCCTTCAGAGACAAGCACTGAAGTCCCCAAAATACCTAAATAGGGGCAAAGACTGTTTAGCTAGCAGATCTATGGTGATTTCATTGACCACATCTCATACCCTACACAGTGGGAGGCAGGCAAAAGTTCCATCCAGCTCAAGGCTGACTCATGGAGAGAGAGGTTGCAAAGGTTTATGAGTTCCCAGAGTGCAATGACTTCCTAAATCTTCTCTCTCTCCATTCCCAACATGTCTAAGTAAGCACCCATGAGTCGGCCAAGGAGGGTGGAAGTGAGTGGTGGGTGGAAAAACTTGATCAGAAGCTGAAGTTGCTGTGTAAACAATGCCCTAGATCCTGAGAGCTCTTGTCTACTTCTCTGAGCCTGACAGGCTCCCATTCCAGACACCAAATATCTCAACTTCAAGATTTTATATACCAGACAGAGGAGAACAGACATCCTTATCTTTCCCCTCCGATATCCTTATTTCAAAGGACTATAAATGAGTCCAGTGTTTATAAACATAAGTATTTATTGAGTGGCTACTAGGTACCAAGAACTGTGCTAGACACTAAGGATACTATAGAGAAAGCAACAAATTACTTGCATGGAATTCTTACGCTACTTGGGAAGACACACATGGGTCAAATAATCACACAAAAGTATATATCATGCAAACCAGGAGGAAGAAAAAAAAAGTGAGTGGGTATATGAGAGAAGAGAGGGGGAAAGAAATCACAGGAGGCTTCCCAGAGGAGGTGACACAAACTGAGATTGCAAATCTAAGATGAGAGGGTGGGGAGTAAGAGGGAGTGGAGGAAGGAAGAGTACTCCAAGAAGGCATGGGCCAGATGATGCAAAGCCTTGTAGGTCCTGACAAGGACTTGAGATTTACCCTAAGAGTTAATTTAGTCTGTTTAGTCAAAATGGAAAATGATATATGGAAGTCATCATGAACATATTTCTGTATATTACCTGTCCAAAGTGAAGGTTCTTTGCTTCCTCAATCCATTTTCTTCCTTTTTTATTATGAAAAAAAATTAACTCATACAAAAGAGAGCAGTAAAATGAATCTCTATATTCCCATTATTTCACTTCATTAGTTACTAACTCATGCCAGTCTTGTTTCATTTATACTCCGCCACTTTTTCCATGCTATATTGAAGAAAGTCCCAACTATCACGTCATTTCATTCATAAATTCTTACTTTGATTTAAATATCTAACCTCCATTTGCTTGATAATAGTATACCTCAACAATCTATATATTTATGTATTTGCTTCACTCATTAGATTATGATTCCCCAGTCTAGCAGAGATTGATTTCTATGTCCCCAGCTTCTAACTCAGGCTCTAGCACAAGGAGGAACTTAATGGATAGTTGTTAATGGAATGAACAAACACACAGCTTGAATTTTTAAAAAATGTTGATGAGTCAGAAAATGCTAGTAGATTGATCAGTGTATCCTTATATGCCTTAGCTATGGGATCTTGTACCCTAAGGAATGACCTAGGCCAGTGATGGCGAACCTTTTGAGCTCGGCGTGTCAGCATTTTGAAAAACCCTAACTTAACTCTGGTGCCGTGTCACATATAGAAATTTTTTGATATTTGCAACCATAGTAAAACAAAGACTTATATTTTTGATATTTATTTTATATATTTAAATGCCATTTAACAAAGAAAAGCAACCAAAAAAATGAGTTCGCATGTCACCTCTGACACGCGTGTCATAGTTTTGCCATCACTGACCTAGGCTGAACCAATGGGAATTTTCCCTGGGACTTTTGCTGGAACTAATAAGATAGGGTGGGCATGACAAAAGAACCAATCAGAGATTAAACATGGAGCTAAAAAATAGAGCAGAGAGCAATAAAGTCTTGATGGTATTGCCTGAGCTCTTATAATAATAAAAGTTGACAATCACTAAGCACTTATGTATTAGGTACCATTCTTAGCACTAGTTTAATTCTTATAAACACTTTATACACAAGAAAAAAAGTGAGGGCAGATGATTTTTATCTCTATCATGAATTTTTTTTTGTACTTAAAAACATTCCCAAACTCACACAAATAGACTGTATGAGAGAAGAAAAAAAATCTTTACCTTCAAAATAAACTGCATTTTGGTGATAAAACTTTGAGTGTCTTCAGCAAGTATACTGACGTTTTGAGGACAAAGAAAACTAATTGACCTCTGATGGAGAAAAGTTATTTTGTTAAAAGAAATATGAAAAGGGGAAATTACATTTGTAATGATTTTTTATCCATTCTTATTAATAAAATTTAAATTCGCTTTTAGAAAGTGAATTGCTCTTAAAGTCCTAAAAAGCATTTTGTGAAAGGGCAGTG